CATTTCTGCACACTACAAGGTACTTACTCCTGAAAGTGGCTCCTCCCTTCACAACTGCTGTGAGTAACTGAGCGAAGGCAGAGCATCCACCCCCCACGTACAGCACTCTAGCCTCTTCAGGAATATGCTCAGTCCTCAGCTGCAAAGGTCGCTGCACCAAAGGTTTCTGTGCTTATAAATCCACGCACACCACTCAGGGTTCGGCCACCACACAAAAGCAAACATAGGAGCAGAGCAGAGGAGGAAATCCCATCCACAGGCGCTCGGGCTTCAGGTGGAGCAGCAGAGCGGTGGCTGGGGAGCAGTCCGGCTAAAAGCTTTCCCTCACGAACCACAGACATTAATTACAGCAGTTCTGACTGACAGCCAGGCACTAGTGTGCCCTCCGTGATATTGAAATTTAAATGGCTATCCCTGAAAATGGTTCAGCAAAGGTCAGGCGCGCCGCTAACACCAGATGCAAGCTGCTCAGAGAATCCCCAGCATCGTGGGCACCACTGCTGCTCTGCAAGCTGTGTGGACAGCCATGTGCCTTCACATTTAGCTGGCCGTCTCCTGTCCCAGTCACTGTACCATGCACCTGTGTGTGACACACCTTGCCCCACATCTGCCAAACTAAGTGTCTGAGGTCCCTCTGCAGTGCATTGGAAAGATGGTAGGAACTGCAAAGGATAATCGGTTCCACCCCAAGATCAGGCTGTCAGGAAGTAGAGGAGGCATCCCCAGGAGAGCCACTGCCCCAACAAGCAGTGCTCCAGGATGGTGTTCAGGAGCTGTGGAGAAAGGCCAGCCCAGGAGCTCCTCTGGTAGGCCTCAGTCGCCCTGGAGGACCAAGGCTGCCGATGTCCTCCTGCTCCAATGTCTTGTAGCCATGAGGGCTTCAGCTGCTTCAGCTCTCTTTCAGGCTTCCCTGCTCTAAAGGGTTAAGGAGGGACTCAAACAGCTGACACAAATGGGCAGATCTCCCTCAGCCACGTGGAGAAACTTGCAGGCTTTGGGCTCATGCTGCCTCTCTGAAGGCATGTTTCCACTTTGCTGGGATCCTAATGGCTTACATATGCAGAGCTCTGGCTCCTGAGGGAGCCCCGTGCTCTGCCACTGCTCCTCACATTGTTATTTCTACCATTTCCATATACTACACGCACTGGGAGTAACTGCAGATCCAAGTCTGTACAACTCAGCAATGCCAACATCATTTTTGTGCAGGAGGAGGCTGCAGCTGCCTTCGCCCTGAGCGGGAACAAGTGGTTGGCTTTCACTTGCCTCTTGCCCTGCATGGCGAGTCTCTTCTGCAATCCAAGCAATCACCACCTCTCACGTCCCTGTATCAGCACTGCAAGCCAGAAACCGACTGCCTTTTGTGCTGCAAAAAGAGAGCAGACCCCTCCATCACCGAGGAACCAGCTCCAACCCCTCCAGAAGCCTCCCTTCCCATTTGGCAGATGACTCGCAGATGGCTGCTGGAAAGAGCCTGCTTGGGAACAAACCAGTTTCCAAAAAGCTGTTCTTTTAAAGCAACAGCCACAATATTTGAGGTGCTTTTCATGGATGCTGCCCATGTGGAGGAGCTGTGCTGAGCCACCAGGGTCCGTCATAGCAGCCCAGAGCATGCTGCAGGGGGATTTCACACTAGGAGCCCCATGGCAGGCAGCAGGGTGAGGGTGCTGCTTTGGAGACTGTCTCTCATCCACCCAGATCTCTGCTCAGGGCAGGCTGGTGCTGTGCAGCCCACAGAGAGGGGAAGGAGCTCTGGGTACAGGATGGAGCAAGCAGGCAGAGCTACCTGAGGAAGCTTGCAACGCTCCTGCCTGCATCAGTCCCTGCATGGCGACTTCCCCGAGGAATGCAAGATTTGCATCAGTCAATACCCGCTGGCCCTCCTGCTCTGCCCTCTGCCAGCCCTTCCTGAAGGACCTGTTTGGTAAGCAAACAAAATTCCAAGCTCAACCACCGGCTGTGTGGAGATGCAGGAGAACAACAGCCCTGGCCTCCCTTCAACATGCATCTCCAGCACATACTGTTTATTTTCTGCTCCACCGTTACCCACCTGAGAGGTCTGCGGCTCTCTGCACTGGGTCACAGAGACCACATGAGATTGCTGGTGTCATGCCAGAGGGCCAGCGGGTGGGAACCAACTCTTTACCTGTTATCAGCTCAGCTTGGGAGTGGTTAACCAAGGCCATGGCATACCAAAACAGGGATTCCTGGAAAATTCAAGCTGTAAGTAGGCAGCACAATCTCCTCACTGTATTTGGAATACATTGTACTCACTATGAATACCATCAAAGGGAAACCTGAATTTGTGCTTACCACAGAGCAAGAATCAAGGGGAAATATAAATTTAGAATGAAAATCTGTGAAAGGAGAGGGAGTGGATACACAGGTCAGCAGGAGTGCTCCTGCCCCACCGTGTTGTCCTTTCTCCCATGCAGTAGCCCTTCTGCAGACGCTCTGCAGGAACCAGGCAGCTCCCCCTCCACAACTTCAGTAAAAACAAAACCACAACAAAACAGTGGGAAAGGGACGGGCGCTGAAAAAAGTAGGAGAAGCAGAAAAGGAGTGGGGGAAAAGATGAAAAGAGGAGAATGGAGAGAGGGATCAGTTGGGGTAGGTGATTTCATGTGAGTGGCATTAAGGAGAAGAAAAAAAAAAAAGCAAACAGAGCAGCAAAACGTGCTTGATCTGACTTGCTGCTCCTCCTGCTCTCAGAGGAACCTGAGTCAAAACCAGTGCCCACACCTTTCCTTGGAAGCCAGACTACCGTGTGCCTCAGTGCTGCACAGCAGCATTACCATACAACAGCGGGAGCAACAGGAACCTTTCCTTCTCCTTCAGGCAAAAACACTCTGGGAAAAGATCTCCTCTCTCCTCTCCCTCATTAGAGACCTCTCTTTGCCTTACACACACCCACTCCCACAGTAGGTGTGTGCAGACTTGGTCTTCACTGCTGGCTCTGCAGAAAGATGCAGTTAGCTCCTGGTTTCCCCTCCGCTCTGTGCAAACCAAGCTGCTGGAGAGGTCTCTGGGGAAGGCAGAAAAAAACGTCCCTGGGAAGCCAGGGAAGGAGAAAAGCAGCGATGTACTTTGCTAAGTGATTTTTTTTTTCCTTTAGTAAACCGTCTGGCTTGAGTCAAACTTTTATCTCTATGTGATTATTCAGTGCTGCTAGCTGGGAAAATTAATTCATTCATGTACTAATATTTACTGCTGCTAGCTGGTTATTTTCATTGCAGAATCATCTATGATAGGGATCTCGGAGCTCCTGTAGGAATGCTTTATACTGGCATCAAATCTAGACCAGTTGATCTATCCGGTTTGCTTGTTTTTCCACCCATTTTTCTGACCCGTACACCCTTGTGCTGGAGCCCCAGTAAGAACAGCCTGGCACCTCAGGCTATGCCCCTGCACCAGGCAGCAGTGCCCACTGCCAGCATCCTTCCCCACAGCTCACCCCCCCGTTTTGACCTGCCTGATGTCATACACAGATTTCCTCTGAGTGACTGACAACCACAGAACTAAGAAACTCCCGCTTTTCCCAATTACTTCTGAGCTGTTTTATGGACCTCTATTTCTGAGGTTCAGGACGTGGAATAATACCCCATTACTTTTCGACCCAAGCCATTTAAACAGTAAGCCTGCCAGTTTTAAGACCCTGAAGATTTAAAACAGCGTGGTGCCCAAGGAACAACAATAACAATAAAATCCACAGTTTAACGCTGCCCATTTTGTTTGTGCTTCTGGAAGAGAAACGACAATGTCTGGGCAGATGGGAAATACAGATTCAGCAAAGATTTAGCAGCTCTGGTTATCACCTCTGACTTCGCCCCGTCTGGCAATGATTTTGTCATGCCAGCACTAAATATTGGGACACTTTATTGCGTGGGATACATAGATTTGTGCTTCCTTACAGAACCTGCTGTGCTGACAGTAAGTTACTTTGATCATCTCTCTGTCCCCGGTCCTAACTCTGTAAATGTTCCTTAGAAAAGGCCAAGTGCTCCTTTCTCACTGCAGTCAACACGTAGGTGATCCTCATAATTGCAGTAGAACACCTGACATAATTTCCTGCATGTTTATGCCCCAGAAATAAGTCATGGTAAGGGAAGTCTGGTCTCTGCTCTTCAGCCAGTAAAAGAGGCAAGCGGCTGCTGCAAGGTGGTGCAAGGAGACGGCCCCCCAAGGGAGAAGTAAGCCCAGCTCCTCTGCCTCCCCCACCAGCCACAATTACTTCAGAGTAACTTTTGCTGGAAGCAGCTCTGGTGAGCACCTAAAAAGAAAAACCTCTTGACAAATCCCTTGGTATGTCCCAAAGTACTCTGTCCTGCAGCCCTGGTAGGACACAGAGGTGTTTCGAAAGCCCAAGGATGGTCAGCTGAGAAAGCTCTCAAGCCCTCATCACCTGCAAGGTGAGTATTTAAGCTCTCTAACTTTAAGAGGTGGCCATATCCATGTTTTTCAAGAACTTAAAGGCAGGAGTCAAAAAGGATTTAAAAAAAAAAAAAAAAGTGAAAAAAAAAGAAAAAACCAACACAGGTAAATAGAGTTTACTCACTTCTAACTTGGGGAAAGCCAGGGTTGAACAGCTTCTCTCTGGTTCATATGAGAGTTTAAAATAATAATAAGTCTATGGTGGAGTGAGGGTTAACCTTTACCCCCAAACTACCGCACAGCATAAAAATCAGGCCCACAGGGGCAAAGCTTGTGTACATTGGCAAGCACGGTCGGCATAAGAGAGGATGGAAGTTTCCTGTCGGAGAAGGAGGCAGGAGAAGCTGCACCGTGCTCCAGAAAGGCTGCAGTGAGCGGCTGAGCCTATTTCTCCTGTTCCCCCAACAACAAGAATGCCTTCACCTTCCTGCCGAGCTTCTCACAGGCTCTTTTCTGCAGACCCTGGCTGTAAATTGCGCCCCTCAAGTCAATTCCTACCGAGCCAAAGCCTTCCCAACCAGCGTCACAGCTGCCGTACCGGTGACACCACATACACCGAGCTGCAGACCCACCTCCTGGACGTTGCTTTGGTCTCTTTTCCCTGGGGAACACTTCAGGGCGCCCTGCCCAGGAGGAACCACGCAGGCACAGCCGATGTGGTGGTGAAACAAAGCCTCGCTGCCCGCCCCATGCTGACGGCACCGCGTTCAGGTCGGTCAGCCTTTCAAGCGCGTGCGAAGTCGGACAGAGGTATGGAGCAGGGACATCATTGCCTGCAAAGAGTAATAGTAATAATAATAAATGTGTAAAAAATGAGTTGAAAAATAATGAGTGTAGCTCTGTATGGCAAGCCGCGGAAGTCTTTAGTCAAACCACAAGCACCTATTTCTGTTCATCCACATAGCACTCCCAAGCACAGGGGAAAAACAATCCTAAAAAAGAGCAGCTCACGTCCAAGCAACCACATTCCCTTCCACAGCAGGGCAAGGTGAACATGAAGAGGGAAATCTCCCTGACAGGAGAAGTGCCTGCCAAAAGCCCTCCCGAGTTCAAGCCTTGGCAAGTGACTTCCCCAGCCTGGCATGGGCCAAGGTGGGTGCAGTGACCGGCAGAGTGGGGGGACACCGGGGCTCCACGGGTGCTGGTCCCTGAGGGGATGGGCACAGATGGGGCAAAACACCTCTGCTGGTGGGCAAGAGCCCTGTGCTGCTCCCTGGAGCAGTCCTCCCCACAGCTGAAATCCCAGCACCCAGAGGCAGCTTGCTGCCCACAGTCCCGAGGTGGATGTGATGCCGGGGTGTTGGATGCTTCCGGCATCCTTTGACTTCATGTCCCAAATTCCTTGCTCAGTCTTCGGGTAAGAGAGCTCGGCTATGGACCTAAGGGCAGGAGTCTGGGCTACGTATCACAGCAAAGGTCACAGTGATCCTTTCTGGAGATTATTTTAGGCATGACAATCTGCCCTGCAAGCCCACCCATTCATAAGCATCCCGCATCCTGTTTCAAGTCTCTCATACGTCAAGAAATCTACTTCTGTGCTACTACAGATAAGCTTCACACGTGCAACACTCACGAAGAAATCTGAGAAGCCACACGGGGTACCGTCAGCATGTACAGTATATAAATGCCACGGTACACTCTGCTGAGGAAAGCACAGTAGCTGTACCCCAATCAGTCAGACAGATTTCCACTCTCCACCCAGACTTCAACCAAAGCATTTTGCTCACCAGCCCCCTCTTCACCACCAGCCTTCCCCTTCACATGGGCTTACAAACCACGGAGCCCACAGCCTGTGCTCCACCCCAAACTGGTACCAACGGCCCTCAGAGCTTGGTCGAGGGGCCTGGAACAGTCGGCAGCATCCCTGTCACAGCACGTGGGCACAGCATGGCAGCTTCCCAGGGAGGGGTGGTCCTGGGATCCCCCCCGTGGTGCTGCCCCCATGCCTCAGACACACAGGTGCCATTAATTGATGAGCACACTAGGAACATAGAGATTACAGCGACTGCAGGAATTTTCCCCGGTCGTTTATGTGATCCATCACCAGCTGACAGTGGGTGATGTGCCTGGGCATGATGTGGTCTGGGAACTTGGCGTTTGCCATGGCTGTCCTTTCCTTTGCCCTCCATCAGGTGGCAAATCCCCGTGAGCTCCCCCCGGAATTCACCAGCCAGCAATGTGATGAGGCTTGGCTTGTTGACAGAGTTAGACAAAACTTACTTCCCCTGCTGGATTCGGCACCCTGCAGTTTATGCTCCAGAAACAAGCTTTCTGTGACTCATCCTCCGTGTCTCTTCACTCCTTCATTGATATTTCCTGGGAAACCTCAAACGCTACAGTCGCCGTGTGACTGCTGATGCCATTCCGCAGCTGGAACAGCAAACACCATAAGCTCTGCTAAAGCCCTTGTAGCATCATCTGCTAGCAGGATCAAATCTCTCCGGCAGCCAGCCTCGGGAGCTCGCATCGGGACAGCCTCACCCAACCCTACCCAAAGTGATTTCTTCTGCTGTGTACAGGCAGAGTAACCAGCAAGAATAATGTCAGCACCTCTCTGGTGTTCAATTCCTGGTGTTGAGCAAAACCTAACACTTTTCCAAAATCCCTTTCTGTATTGCATCTATTGTCCTTTCCTGAAACCTTTCAGCAGAAGTCTGGAAATGCTCTCCTTCTGTTCTGCTAATTGACACAAAGCTTCCACAGGGGAGATTCACAGATCCAAGGACTCCTCTTGAAGCCACACCGTACACTGTGGATGCCCAAAAGGCCCTCAGCAGAAAGAATAAACAGCTGACAGACTGGCAAGTTCTCTGAACTTATCTGTTCTCTATGAATGTTTCAGCATTATCTTGGTTTCTCTGAATTCTGTGGATCAGTACTCACCAGTTTCTTTGTATGTGCTGATAACACACTGCTTGACCCTTTGCACTCTTTGAATTTTGCCTTTGGTCAATCCTTCCTGGATGTCCTGAGCTACTTCTGAAGAATTTGGGAGATCTATTTTTGAGATGATCAGACAGTCTGGTGATTGACCAGCACAATTTGCAGATACTACGCCAGGAAATAGCACATACAGCACAGACTGACATCCACAAAACAAAATCACAACAACTGGCACAACAGTGGATTTTGGTGTTTGGTCCCCCTTTCCTGCATCCCCACTGTATTCCAAAGCAGTCCAAAACTGCTAATTTTTCCTTCCCACTATTACCACTTCTCAAAAGTTGTCCTTAAGAATTGCTCACTAATTAGGATCATGCATGACAAAGTGCTAGCCAGTGCTGTCACTGATCTTTAACACCTTTACAGGCAGGCAGCATACCCAGAAATGCACAAAAAACAGAACCCAAACCCCCGGGTAGCAGATATGTGACCACCAGCCACAGATGCACAAACACGGCAGCATCCCACGTCCCTTCCCATGTCTTGTAGGAACAGGCACATCCCGCCCAGCCCATGGGGCCCCTCCAGCCCTGGGCGCTGTCCCTGAGCGCACAAAGGTGGGTGCTTGGGAAGAGGATGAAGGACAGAAAAAGAAGAAGCATTCTCCTACACCTTCTCCATGTATCCTTTCAGTTTGTGCCTACTTATAGTTCAGAAATCGACAAAGCCAGGAGTTACAACTTCCATTTCACAGCACCAGCACACTGAGACTTTCTGCCGTGTAACTGTACGTTTGCTTTTGAACCCCTGTAAATTTTTGGATATTGAGGAGACATCGAGGGGCAAAGCACTCCACAGCTGATCCACGCACCCTGTAAGAAAACCACTTTCTCTCACTTGTTTTCAATCTTCTGCCTACCAGCATCACTCAAATAGTTGTAGCCCTTGCCCTGGAAGACAGCAAGCAAGCAAGCAGCTCTTCCCTCCTTGTCTGCCTTCACTCCAGTTTCAAGTTTACCTGTTATATCCCCACTCACCCATCTCTCTCCCAGGCTATCAAGTGGAAAGAAAAAAAAAAAAAAAAGGCTTTGTAAGAGCTGAAATTACTCCAGTACTGCTGGTTGATGGACTAGCACTTTGAAACAATTTAGGGGATGTTCCGTGGAGCTAGCAAGTCTTCGGGTGGGATGAACTGACCGAGTTAACCCCAAAACCCACTTTGCCCACTTTGTGCTACCCATAGCCTCAAGGCAAGGTCCCTGTAGGGTCTCCGAGAGCTTTCCCCTAGTAAGTCTGTTCAGCCCATAAAAAGACTGAAGCTGCTACTGTCTCTTCTTGAGGGGGAAAAAAAAAAAAAAAAACAACTTCCAAACACATTTCTTTCTGACAGATCCTTACTCTTCTGCTTCCCTAGAAGGAAAAAGAGCCGCACTGGAGAAAAAAAGTAAGAGCGCTTGGCAGACAAAGCACTCCCCCAGCCTAACGCACGGGGTTTTAGCAATGCACCGAGCGCTGACAGAACCGGAGCGTTCGCCAGCTCCCCGGCAGATTCAGTTCCTGTTACAAAACCGCGCCGGGCTGGTACCGGCGGCCGGGGAAGGGGCTCGGTGCTGCCCCGGGGGCTCCTCGGGGAGCGCAGGGCGCCCGCCTGCCCCGCAGCCCCCTCCTCGTCCCGCTGCCAGCCCCAAAATCCCCCTGCGCGCAACTTCTGGGGCGCACGCGAGTTCTTACCGGAGCTCCTCGGCGGCACCCGTGGACGCCGACACGGAAAAGACTGAAAGCACCGGCACTCCTCGTCCTCCTGTCTGCTTGTCCTCCTGTCTGCTTGTCCTCCTGTCCTGCTTGTCCTCCTGTCCGCCTGTCCTGCCGCCGCGCCCTGCCCTGCTCTGCCGCCCCCGCGCAGCAGTGCGCCCGCGGAGCGGCGCCGCGCCCCTTCCTCCTCCTCCTCCTCCTTCTCCTCCTCCTTCTCCTTCTCTTCCTTCTCCTTCTTCTCCTCCTTCTCTTCCTCCTCCCGCTTCCTCTCTTCCAAACTCAGCCGCCGAGCCTCCAAGTTTTCCGGGCAGCGCGGAGCCTCCGCGGCCCCTGCGCGCTGCTCCGCGAGGAAAGTTGGGGCCGGGACGGGCAGGAGGAGGAGGAGGAGGAAGATGAGGAGGAGCAGAAGGAGGAGGAGGAGGATGCACGTCCCCTCAGCACAGCCCGGTGCCGGTGGGCAGTGTTGGCGGCAGCCTGGCACTTGGCTCACCTGCAGCCGGGCACGGTCAGCGGCTGCAAATGGCCATCGGGCTGCTGGCAGACGGAGAAACACAGCCTAAAGCTCTCGTGTGAAGCGGTTCATTCCCTCAATCCTTTAAACAGGGCGTTTTTCCCCCGATAAACATTGTCTGAGATGCAAGGAAAAAAAAAAGAAATCTTTTCCTCTGTGTCATAATCACAAAACACTTGCCAACACCAGCTGCTCCAAGAATTTACCAGGATTCCTATGGCGACGTTACGCTGGGGCATCTTCTGCGGGTGCTAGCACCGTGCAGGTTTTTGACATCTTCCCATAGCTGCCCTCCGTTCCCACGTTTCTCTTACCTTACCTGTTCTTGCCTCTTAGAGTTCAGCTTTGCCCAGCAAGAAGGCGCAATGCTCTGTGCTGATCCTCTGCCGAGAGCGTATTTAGCTCTATCCGTATCTTTGTCTTTGCTTCTTGTCTCTTTTCCCCTCGTCTCCCTCGCTTTTACCATTTAATAACCTATGGCCTACGTTATGCAGGAGGTCAGATTTTCACATCGGCCGCTTCTGGCCTCAGAACCTCTGAATCTGTGTTGCATTGTCTGCCTCCCAGCTGCTTATCTTCCTTCCCTCTCACGCTTTTGTTTTGTGCCTTGCATTCTTCCTCAATGGTATTAATCTTCTCACTGGGGTTTTTTTTTTTTTTTTTTTTTTTTTTTTTTTACTCCATCGTAGCAATACATAAATAAATAAATTGGTGGAAATACACATCTGAATTTGTGGCCTTTGTTCCCGGCATCATCTCCTTCTCCTCCTGTTCCCCATCTGAATGCTAACAACAGGCAGAATGCCATGGGTTTTGTATTCCTTGCATTTCTTGTCCTGTCCCCTTCATTCTGCACAGCACAAAACACGCACTAATTCACAGGCTCCAAGTAGAGAGGTGTTCTGCTAAGAAAGAGAACTGGATGGTGACAGAAGCAGGAGGGCTGCGAGGACTAGCCATTGCTGCTTGCCAGCCGTGAGAGGATGCTACGTTATCCTGCGGTGCTCAGGATCACCGATAGCTGCCTGCCTTAGACCCCCAGAACTACACTCAGAAAGAAAAAAAATTGATCAAAGAAACCAAAACATCCTACTGGTGGTGGTAGGACTTTTGTCGTCTCTTAGTGGGTCTCTACATTAAGAAAAAGATTCCAGTAGGCACAACATAAAAAATTCATAGTTGGAAGATTTAGGAAGTAGAACCCTACATTGGTTGTCAAGCTAAAGCCTTTCTTTCTCAATACAAATATCGAACAACAGCAACAACAAGCTGGTAACTGACTTTTACTTCAGGTGTTAACGAGCTGTTTTCATGTAGCTCTCTGCATTTTTACCTCTCTACCCATTTTGAATCATTCAGACTTTTGTTACCGTATCTTCGTACTGCCTTAGGTCATCTAATCGTGTTAATATAATGATGGGCGAGAAGCATTACTGTCAAGTCCTCCCAGTTTTTATACCGCAATTTTATTAAACATCTGGTAACAAAGAAGTCAAGCAAACACATAAGTAACTCGGCAGTAATTTTAACAGTCAAAAATCTTCAACTTCTAATGAAAAACTACTTCCCTCCACCCGAATGAACAGTTCCTTTAAACCAATATGCCTTCAGGTTTGTTTTGCTGCAACAGCTGTGAGAATGTTCCATTTTCTTTTTGCATGGAAACTGACCTTTACTAAATACCTGTCAGTCAGTAGCCTTTAACTTTTTTTTTTTTTTTTTTGGCTTCGAGGCAGCTAGCTTTTTTTTTTTTTGCTTTTTTTTTTTTTTTTTTTTTAAATCTTTACAGCCCATCAGGCAATGATTGCTCATGCATCCCAGGGCAGAGTACTAACTCTGCCCGTCAGACCCCTCTCTCTCTTCCCTAAACCTTCTCCCACTTAAGACACTAATCAAATCCCTGCAGAACAGCTCAGAACAGCTCCTCTGACTCCAGATAGAGAGCTGAGGATGTTAGGTATTGACAGGAGGTATTTCTCACCCCATTCACTGGAGTTAGGAGTAGTAGGTGTTATTATTTCATCTCTCTTTACAATCTGGGGAATGAAAGAGCAAGAACACCACTTGAATGCAGATAACTCTCATGACAGTCAAATGTGTTATGAATACGCTACTGAGGCAGATTCACACATTGTAAAATAAGAACAAATAGAAAGCCTCCACAGATCAGGGTGGGAACCTAGGATGTTGTTAAACATCCTGGAAAAATCCATTTACCAGGAATGGACTTGGTGTATTTCCTGCCAGACGCTGGTGCATTTTTTGACTATCAGATAGATTCGGTTGCAACACCAATGGAATTTTCCTGAGCACTCTGAAATGTTAAGAGCCCTTTTCTAACCTCTCACAACACACATCCCATTCTCAAATGTTTGTATATAACCATGCCCAGTAAAGCAAAGTTGCTGGTTATTTTCAAAGTTGCCCTTCTTGACTTCTGCCTAACAGCTCACGTTATTGCACAAGCATTTGCAGCCACTTCTGATAGCATGTGCTTTGGAAGCATTGCTCACCAAAAGCAATGCTCACCAAAAGTGAGCACTGGTGTTGGTACCTGCCTGGTACTGTCAAGCACAGGCAGGTAGGAAGGCAGAGAAATCAGTGGAGTATCACACAAACTTACCAACACAGACTATATTTCATTGTGCACCAGCATATAACAGGCCCTTGTCTACTTTCCCATTTAATGATGTTAAAGCACAAAATTCAATATTGACAGTTACTTTCACCTGCTACGAAGTACTCTTCAGTTTCTCATTTACTCAAACAACCTTTCAGTCCATTCCAAGTGCTGGGCAAATGATTTATCAGAATGATGGTAACAAAGCACTTGGTTCTAGGAGTTCAAATGTTTACTTCTAAATGTTGATGAAAAAAAATAATGTTAGCACGCAAGAAGTCTTCAGAATCCAAAATCTTCACATGCTAGGTAGAAATTCCAGTGCTTTTCCATTACAGACCATGGTAGAAACTCCTCTGTACGTAGAAGTAATGTCTCATTTACAACTTGTGTCAGACTTTCTACTGAGTTGAACTGGACAGAAGACCCTGTTGAAAACGAATGCAAATGATTACACAATGCATGCTGAAGCAAGAGAAAGCAATCACTGGCACTATTAATTACACAGGTGTTAGTAGCTTGTTAGAACCATGAAGTCATCACAGATCCCTGTGCCCTAGGATGCTCGTAGCCTAAGACCCCAGAAATCTCACCCGTGGTGCTACCACAGTACTTGCACCCAGACTTCAGTGAGACAAGGCAGTGCTTTGTGTTTTGGTGCTCAGGGTGAGGATCCCTCTCACCACGTCCTTCCTATAATCCTGAATGGACTGTACCAAAATGAAGCTGTACACGTTTATACAAACAAACAAACAAATAAATAAATAAATAAATTACTGCATTGAACAATGGGTATTTGCAGTATTTAAATGCCTGCTGGACTGAAACAACTACTGCAATTCATGAGTTTAAGGCATTTGTGTCGCTGCCAGAGCAACTGAACTTGTAGTTTTTACTGTTAAAATCAGTAACAAAATGGCAGAGTTGAGAACCAGCAACAAATGTTTTTTGTTTGTTTGTTTGTTTTTTTTCATAGGGGTACAGAATCCAACAGGCACTTGAGACTGCTGTTTTCAGAGTTACTGGGATTTGTTCCTCTTTCATCCACACTTTCTCCACTCAGTATGGGTACGCACAGTGCTAGAGCTGCCACAACCAGCCCAACATGGAAACTGCCACATGTAGCAGATGCTGGCCAGGAAGGATTGTCATGAAAAGTGGTGGTGGCCTCTGTTTAAAATAAATGTGTTCTGATGGCGTTCAGTGTCTTGAGGACAGGTGTTTCAAGAGGATTAGACTGGCCAAAAGAAATACTTGTAAAAATACAGAGGAAACATGTCTCAAGGCACAGCAGGTGGTCATTTAGCTTGCACTCCTTTCTGATGTGCCATGCCAGGAGTTTGTCTTCCTTTGTCACCAAAGTTTTCTAACTGTGTTACCTACAACAATTCCAACATGCACGAGTCACTGCACTGACCACACTGGTAGGTCCTAGTGATGAAAAATCTGCATGTCTTGTAGGTATCGGACCTTTTAACTGTGTCTCATGCTCAATCAGCAGTTGCCTGCCATTTCATGATCACTCGCCACCCTATGCAGAGAAGCAGCAAATTACTAATAAAAGTGAGAGGTCTGAGTTCAGAACTGCAAATACACGATCTTGCACGTGAGGGTGTGTGTTGTTCCACACAGCAAAACTCACTTCAATGAGAATAGGATATCACTCCATATTTTACACCCCCAATGTGTCTTCAGTATGTTCCTAGCATAACACAATGCATAATGGAAAAAAAAAAAAAAGCACGATGGAGCTATAATCTGACGGCTAGTGTATATTGAAGTATCTTGAACTATGGCAAACAAAGACGGGCAGTCTGAATGCAGGCCCCATCCGAGAGGTAACATCGCAGTGCTCCTCACACAAAGCTTGCACCTCTTATGAAGGAGTGGTCAGTCACACCAGAGGTCCCTTACACACTCAACTGGAAGTAATTTTCGAAGGGTGTAAGGAGGAATGCCTGAATGGGAAGTTACAAAACAGTTCTAAGGACAATGCCTTCAGGAAAAAAATAAATCTTAAAAGCAAGCCTGGGAATATTTTGATAAAATAAACTGGCAGAAACTGAAAGGTTATCATTAATACTGGGTCTAGAGTAACATGACAGGCATGACTTCAACCTGTTTCAATGTGTTGAGAAAGCTTTTTCATCCTGAAATGCCCACATATTGCAGGTCAGCACAGGGAAACTTCTTGGCAAAGTCTGAAGTTATGTGAACAATGTTTTTTCATATCATAATTGGAGAAAAGACATTCATTTTTCACTTCTGGAAATGATCTTTTCAGCACTCTCACTGCAATATTCTAACTTACAAAAAATCTAAAATCAAATTTGGAAGTGTAATAAAGTTATGACCAGATAAATCCATTGGTTTTGTTCGTTGATTCGCCGGCAGCTGACGGCTTTCTTTGCCGATTCCTTCGGGACAAATTAATGTTTTACCAATTGGATAAAGATTTTGTAAAGTAAACACCTAAACACCAGCATTCTAATATAAATACAAATTTACCTGAGTGTATACTTTAAAAACAAAAACACACAAACAAAACAAAACAAAAAAAAAAACACACACACACACACAAAAAAAAAAAACAGAAGCAAACAAAAAAAATCCTTTTCATTCTAACCTCTAATTTTTAGTAATTTTAGGTAATGGTTAGCAAAAGCACTACAATTTATACACTCCAAAGCCTCCGCATTGGTTCTGAACAGCAGTGTTGGGAAAAAGAGTTTCTACATCCACACACAATCTCTTGTTCCTTAGCAGGTATCAATCAGTTTTTTAACATTTAGTCTCTGTGTTTCTTACTCCATATTCTGAAACAAGCGACTCACTTCGTTCTCATTTCCCTTTTTCTTTCTCAGCTCTTCTTCCCTTTTCTCTCTTTGCTTTCTATTATGTTTATCACTTTAATACCCACTTTGAAGTTTCCTTTCTCCCTTTTGCCATCTGTTAACTCCCTTCCCCTTACTGGCAGCTTACAGGCTTTTAGCAGTGCAGAACTGCTCCCATGCTACTATCCAAAACTCAACTGTGTGCCTCAGGTTCAGAAAAAAGCTTAGGCAGGTAGTGTGCACATAGCCAGGGTTTTTCTCTGCTTTACCACCTTTGCTGTCTTGTCAAGTGCTCTCGGTTTTCTTCCACCTTCATAAACTAGAAGATAAAGTACCAATCATTATCAATATCAGAATTAACTTTTTTTTTTTCTTTTTTTTTTTTTTCCCTGTAAACCTGGGGAAAACATATTCCCTTGGTACTTTTTCCATCCCGCCTGCCAAGAACTTCTCTGTGTGCATTGGTATCTCTTTCAGCCTTATATTTTTGAAGCCTTTTTAAATGTTTTAAATACTTTACAAGATCTTGCTTCTGTGGTAGATAAGAACCTGAAAATGCTATTTAAGGATAATTCCCATTAGTGGCACAAAAATATAAATGTCAGGCCAGAATCTCCAGTTTGCATAAAGGTTAGTCACCAATGATTGCTACTTCTGGCAGCCTCCATTTTCTGATCACTAAAATATCCCCTGAAAGATCTTTTTTTTTAATTATTATTTTCATTTTTAAATGGCTATCCTACCAGTGTTTTTTCCAATTACAAATTGCTGAAACCATCCAGAGATAACATTAAGCATTTTGTAACTATTTTACTGGTGTAAATTATCTGTAAAAGTTGTTTAGATGCTCTTGCATTATAACCACCAGCATATTTGAGTCAATATACAGGCAGCAGTCAATCTAGTGTCCATACTTCTGTAATACAGGCAAAGGTTATTGCTACACCCTAGAGAAAGCCTAACTGATTTGTGATATCTGTAGCAAAGTCACAGGAGATGCTATTCATCTAGCTCAAGTTGATCTGGTTAGGTGCAATAAGTGGGCTACAGATGCATCAGCAAAGAGAAACTCTAAGGACAACACACTGAAAAATGTCAGCAGTTGATCTACGATTAGGCAGTGAAGATTTAGAACAAAAAAAAACAGCCTTAGATTTCAGGTTTCTCGGGTTTCTTCCATGCTACTTTTAGGACCCCGAATAGAGAACACCAGCCATAAGCCAGGAACCCCAGCAGGCTTTGGCCCTTCACGCCCAGAAATGACAGCCAGCACCTCACATAAACTACATTTAGATCCCATGACTCTTAAGAGGCTGCTACTGAATTGAGGCACATGAGTTCTGCCCCTGCTAGTGGTAATGTTGCAAATGACTTATTTCAGCTAATTAAGACATTAATTGGCATCTTGGAAAATTAGATGACTGTGGACAGTTCATCATTGTAAGACTGGATCTTTCTCTGACAAAATAAGATGCTCCCATGGTAACTGTTTTTGTTTGTTTGTCTTGTTGTTGTTTTTTCCCGTCAAAATGCTTTTTCTTCTTTCCAGGTCTCTCCACAGTTCTTGACTCACTTCATGTGATGTAGGTCTTCATTCTGACAGATTCTCATTCCCTGTATCCTGCAGTCCAAGATCTTTGCCTTTACAAACAGATTAGCGATCTTTGTCTAACAATCAGACGTGACATCCAATTCAGATACCCAAAGGTGAGGTATTCCCTAAAAGATACAGGCTACAGGATTTTGGCTACTTGCTTTGTGACACTCTGCATCCACCTCTGTCCTGATTTGGAAAACACTTTTTCCTCCCCCAAAACATAATTTATCAAATACACCTGCTGTATTTTTTATATTGGTAGTTAATCCCCTTTCAAAAATTTGAATATTATTTGTAACATCCTGTGACATAAATAAATGAATAATTTCCATTTGGAAGCTAACTAATGGATTATAATGATCAGCTGCAGTTTAGCGCACAGCTAAAATTGTATCAGGAGGACTCAGAGCACCCAGCCTATGCTTCTTTCATTCATGTATCAGACAGCTACTCACCACAGATCACCTGTAGGTTCGGCTCATCATTTGCCTATAAATAGAATTGGCATGGCAATAATTTGGAATTTAATTCATGCTTTCACAAATCATTATTCTATTCTCTTGATGCTAGATAAAATGGTAGATTTGAGAAAGTACTGTTTCTTCTTCTACTCGATAAAGAACAGTATTTTGCAGGACTTCATTCTTTATTTTTGTCCTCCAGTAAGATTGACAAAAGCAATGTCATAAAGCAGAAAAAAATGAATAGGTATCTAGAGTCATTCTACTCTGAATTCATTTCATAACAGTGACCTTTCTTGTTACACTCTGCTTCTGTATGGAAAAAGGACTTGCAGGCACGATTAAAGAGCAGGAATTCATGCCTTTTATTCTAAAGCATCAGTTTCAAGGTTTACACTGAAATTTCTTTAATTATTTTTATATTTCTTGTATCAGGAAGTATTGTTCCAGCAACACAGTCAATGAGATGATATACTTTGTGGAAAGATACAGTTACTAGCAAATTTATTTCTAAATATCTGGGGGGGGGGGGGGGA